TGTATTTGCTTCTTCATAAAGGTTGTTCCTATAAATAAGAGTTTAGTTGCATATTGTCTTTTCTCTTCACTTGATGTAGACATGCAAAGAATCACCTTGCATCTTCCATCTTTAAAAGAGATTGTCTTTACTATCCAATCAACTTACTTATTTCTCATCTCTAGCCATGGCATATCAAGAATAACATTATAGCTTAGCTTTGTCATGTTAAACTTCTTTCTTAAGACATAGGTGTTAGTCAATTTTAAGGTTTATTTTTCATATGTCTCACTCAATGCATTCTTTTAGTCATCTGCAAGGTATATACTTGCTCCTTTGATTGTCTTAGTTTTAATTCTAAATGGGTTGACAATTTTAATTCAGATAAAATTCTTCATAGACCTACCAACTATAAGTAGTTGACATAATTTTTCTCTTAGTAGTCTTGTTAGATGCACCACTCAATTCTTTTTAAAGTTGTCCGAGGCCATGTAATTTGTCTCTGAAAAATAGTAGTTATTTCCAATACTAGCCCTTGGTGCCTTTATTACAGAGCCCTATTTTCTTGCTCTGTCTCATTATAAACTTGATAAGACTATGAACTTGTCTTATTTTGCTTGTATTTGAATTTTGATGTTTTTGACAACCTCCAATTTGATGGTCAGGCTCCCAATAATAAAAATACAATTTCTTTTGCACCAATATTTATCGTCTTTGTGGTGTCAATGATTTTTGTAGGGCATCAATCTCCTTTGGCATTGGTTATTATGCCATAGTATTAGATAGCAACATAAGACTTCATTCTATAGGTTGTGCTCTATGATTTCTTAAATCCATAACATTGATCCTCTCTACAATCCAAATTACCTCTTTAAATATTTGTAGATCCCTTAGTTCTACCTCTTGTTGGATCCTAAGTTTCAAACCTTGTAAGAATTGATCTATCATCTTTGTCTCTAAAAATTTGTCAATTTGGAGATATAGGTACTTGAATTGAGAGACATAATCTTGCACCAACCAAGATTGTGTAAGATTTGCTAATTAATTGCATGATATCTTCTCTACATTGATGGGCCAAAATTGATTCTTAAACTTGGTATCAAATTCCTTTCAATCACAAAATCCATCTTGAGCTCCATAGCTTTGAACTCAATGTCACTACCAAATGGCTATCAGATCTCTCAAATAATTGGCTACATACATAATTCCTTTAATGGTATTTGCTCCAAATAATTGAAGGTATTGTTACATATTGAAGAGCCATTAATATACATCCTCTTGTCTTGAAGTCCCAGAGTATATATTAGGCTTACTCAATTTCAACCTAACAAATGTTAACTCCCTTGTCCTCGAGGCTTCTACTTGTCCTTGCAAAGTATCTATCTACCCTAAGACATATTGTATTTAAGCCTCCATTTAGGATTACTCTGCCATATCTTCTATGCTATAATTTTTCCACTAGATTCTACTATTATAATGCCTTCTCATCTCCCAGTTGACTTTTTAAGAATAGCTTGTGGTAGCTTCAATATAGTACTTGGTGTAACCACAACAATTGATCTTGGAATAAATGATGAATATTGACATACTACCAAAGAATAGTCTAACACTCGCTTTGATATCAATGAAATAGGACTAGATTATTTCAAAAATCTAAGACCCTTTTAATCCACTATAATATAAAATTTCATCACAAGGTAAGAAAAATTGGACTAGAATAAAATTGAATAAAATTAAATAGAATATAAAACATGGAAAATAAAACTCATGAATTGGAATTGAAACAAAACAAAACAAAATAAGAAGATACAAAATCCAAAATATATTAAGAAAAAAGATTCAAAGCCACCTTAGACCTTCTAGAATATTCTTAGATGATGGGCCTCACTTAGATAATCATCTTAAATTCCTTTTAGAAGGTTCTATGGTAGATCCTACATAAATAACTATCCTAGATTCTTTCTAAAATGTTCTATAGGGGATCCTATCTTCTCCACTAACCTAATTCCAATTCTAAAAACTTCCATGGTTCTAACTATCTATCCCTATGTATCAATAATATAAATATCTTATTTATACTCTGTTATAATTGGCCCTCATTGCTTTTACTAGGGAGCCTTGTTTTCTTTTTTTTATCTAATTATTGACTTGGTGAGTTTCAAGACTGTAAACTCACCTTATTATACTGGTGCTTGAATTTTGACGTTTTGAACATCCTCCAATTTGGTGGCCTAATTCCCAATAATAGAAATATAATCTCTTTTGTATCAATATTTGTCGTCTTTGTGGTGTCAATGATCCTTGTAGGGCATCAATCTCTATTGATATTGATTGTTATGCCATAATATTAGATAGCGGCATATGACTTCGTGCTATAGATTGTGATCTATGATTTCTAAAATCTTTAGCATTGACTTTATTTGCAATCCAAATTGCCTCTTTGAATGTTTGTAGATCTCTTAATTCCACCTCTCATTAGATCTAAAGTTTCAAACCTTTGAGGAATCAATCAATTATCTTCGCCTCTGAAATATTGTCAATTTAGAGACAAAAGAACTTGAATAAAAAAACATAATATCGTATTGATCTAGATTGTGTAAGATTTGTCAATTGATTGTATATTATCTTCTCCACATTGATGGATTAAAATTGATTCCTAAACTCGGATTCAAACTCCTTCCAATTACAAAATCTATCTTGAGCTTTATAGCTTTGGATTCAATGTTACCACCAAATGGTTGCTGCATCTCTTAAATAATTGGCTGCATACATAATTCCTTCAATGATATTTGCTCCAAATAGTTGGAAGTATTATCACATATCAAAGAGCCATTAATATACATTCTCTTATCTTCAAGATAAGAGAAAGTATATCAATGGCTCTTAGTAAAATTTGGTTTTGCATCTTTTTATTTTATTTTTGTTCAATTTTGTTTTGTTTTATTTCTATTTGCTCAATTTTGTTTTTTGTATTCTATTTTGTTTAATATTGTTCAATTTTTTTCTTGTCTATTTTGTACAACTTTGTGATGAGGCTTTATGTTGCTATAAATTAGAAGGGTCTTAGATTTTTGAGATAGACTAGTTATGTTTCATTGATATCAGAGCGAGTGTTAGATTGTTCTTTGGTAGTATGTCGATAGTCATCATCTAGTTCAAGGTCAATTCTTGTGGACATACCAAGTACTGTGTTGAAGCTACTACAAGTTACTATTAAAAAGTCAACTAAGAGATGAAAAGGCATTATAATAGTAGAGTCCAGTAGAGAAATTATAGCATGGGAGATAAAGCAGAGCAATTTCAGATGTTGGTTCAAATACAACACCTCTTAGGCCAGATAGCTACTTTACAAGGACAAATAGAAGCCTCGAGGGTAAAAGAATCGACATCTGTTAGGCTGAAATTGAGTAAGCCTAGTACATACTCTACGACTAAAAATTAAAAATTGAATGTGCATACTTAATTTGTGAGTCTTATTCAAAACAAACAAAAGAAAAAAAGAAAGAAAAGTCCAATCTAAGAGAGATTAGTTAAAGAAGCTAATACAAAAATAAAATATTAAAATTAATGTATTAAGATGTCTTCTATAAGTACCACCAATAGGTATTAAACTTAGAACCTTCATATTAGTGAGATTGCTTCTTACCATGCAAATAAGCCTTTGTGGTGCTAGGTTTAAAAAAAAAAATATGGATTATTCCTTATTCAATATACTTGAGTTTAAATATATTAGACAAAAGTTAAGTAAATAACAATCTATCTTTAACATATTATAGATGATATTCTATTATATGACATTTATTTGTGGATTTAGTTTAGAGATCATTTTATAGAATCATGTCTTCTCCTAATCCAACTATAAAGTTGTTTTCCATAAGAATTTCTATATTGGTATTTTTTCATTGGCTTTTCTGTTTTCTATTAGATGTTTATTTATTTATTCTTCTACTTTGTTGCTCCCTATTATATTTTTTTAAAAAAATCAACTGTAATAAAATAAATAAATAAATAAATAAATAAATTTTTATTTTCAAAATATTATAATTTAAAGAATTAGACCTTTCAATTATAATATAATCAAGTAATACATTTAGCCAAAATCTTATTGGTAGTATTTATTCAAAATTTAAATAATATATATTCTTTCTATAAATAATAAAAATATTGTTAATTATATTAAAATTTATAATTAATAATACAATTTTTTTCTAAAAATCCCAAATAATTTTTGAATAAATAAATAAGTATATATATATATATATATATATATATATATATATATTTATTTATTTATTAAGGGTGATAAAAGTAACTCAAAGAAAGATAGTTTAAGCATAAGAGGAGTTTAAGAAAAAACACAATATCTCAAAAAAATACAGTAAAGATTAAAAAATAAACACATACATAAACAAAAATCAATGTCACTCTCTAGATTTAAACCTTAGAGTCTCTGATGATTTTTTTTTTTTTATATTTATTTTATAAATTACTCTTGTCATGCAAAAATAGTCTCCCTACTAATCTAAATTGGTTTATTCTGTATATATGCACTTATTTTTCTAAATATAAAATAACTTTCTCAAGGAACAATTTGATCCACCTAGAAGCCCCTGAGTTTTGAGACAAGTAGAGATGAGTAGAACCCTCAATCCACTCGACTGTATTCATCTGCAAAATGAGTCTAGAAAAAGTTTCACAAAACTAAAAATCAAGTCACCAAAAGAATAAAAAAAAGTCGCAGGAAAAGTAGAGGAATGCAAGGGGAAATACTCGTGGAAAATGCGAATACACTTTTCTTTTTTTCTTTTTTTCTTTCCGTGCCATCCCTCGTGGCAATCCCCAACTATCCATTGGTTTTTTTCAAACGGTCTACTACAACGCAACTATCTCCCTCCCCCGCGCTTTCTCGCTATCACATCCTCCACCTCTGGCTCTGATCTGGCTCTGGCCTTCCTTGTGCTCGTGCTCCGCCTCGCCCGACTCTGTGTTGCCGATTTTCCGCAATGGCGTCTTCCGTGAGTTACTTTCCATACTCCTGCACGCTCCTCCTTCCACTTCTCTGTTTCTCTTTTGCTTCACTCTGCACTCAATTACTTCAGTTTAGTTCCTTGTGGTGTTTGCAACTTTTCTTAAAGGATTGCGTGCATGTTGCTGCTTTCACTACCTCGAGGACGTGCGGTGAGGATTAGGGTTCTGGACTATTGTGATTTGGTATGATCGGAGGTTTTGGTGAAGGAGAGTGGTGTATGGAGGAGTGACGCTGTGGTGTTTGTGTGGAATGGTGCAGGATTTGGATGGTTGTGCATGTTCTGAGCTGCCGTTGGAGATTATCGAGCGCGTTCTGTCGTTCTTGCCTGTGCATGATTTGTGTAGGTTTCGATCGGTCTGCAAGGAATGGAGGGAGCTTCTTTGTAAGCCGAGCTTTCATGACCTGTGTGAGGTGAATGGGAAAGATGATCGGTACTTGTTCGTGACGCGGGATTTGGACTGTGACGGGTGGAGCGTTGTGGACCCGGTTTTCAGGCGGACGGTTAGCTTCCTCGACTTGCATGACGAGCGATGGTATGCAATTGAGGTCGGCGAGTCCCTTGGAGGCTTTGACGAGGACTTTCTTGAGACTCAGTTGTCGGCCATGGATAATGGCCTTCTGTGTGAGATGAGTACATTGCGAGGCAGTGACGATGATCTTGCGTTGACGATCTCCGATCCTGTTGCCAACACGAGGATGACACTGCCAGCTCCCCCTGAGATTTTCTGTCTGGGGGCGTATCTCCCTTTAATACTCCCGTCAGTGGATATCGTTACCCGCAGCTACAAGGTTTTCCTTGTGAATAATCCTCGAGAACATAGTAGGGACCTCACCCGGGTGCATGTATACGAGACATTCAGCAACGAGTGGCGGGGACTCAGCAATCCAGCAAAGGAATTTGAGGAGTTGATTGCAGGTTCAGCTGTCATCCTGCAAGACGTTTTGTACATAGTTTTCCGTGACATTGCCAGGTGGCAGTTTGTACTGCTAAGCTATAAAATGCAGGAAGACGTATGGACAGAAGTTAGGCGAATCATCTGTCCTAGGAAGCCGCGACACCCCCAACTCGTTGTAAGAGGGCATCGACTGTTTATGAATTTATGGTCGGGCGGAACGTCTTCTTTACTGGAAGATTTGTCATTGTTCGAGATGATTGAAATCATGCCATCCGATAACTCTAGCAAGACAGTGGTCCAACTTACGTTTGCTCAGCTTCAGCAGATGTTTAGCGAGCAAGATTCAGATTTCTATATTGCTTACGGAGTTCCACGTTTTAATTCTAAAGGGTCTTACAGCTCTGTAATATTGATGTCATCTTTATCAGGAAAGTTGATAACTTTTGACTTGACGAGTAGGACGGTGGGTACAATACCTGCAAACCCTTTCATACAGGGTCCTTCGCTGGAGACCTACCCCTATTGTGACATGTATCGTGCGAAGAACATGAACCTTAGTTTGAGAAATCTATTATCATATGACTCGGTTGCAAGTGGTTGATCTGTATTGAGAGCTTTGCGTGGTAGAAAGTCTTGCAATTATTATCCTTTCATGACATCTACTAAGGAGAAGGCCGAAGCGCGGTTTATGAAAGCGATTGTATCTGCCACCTTTAATTACCCTCTTTGTTTACAGCATTCTACACTGTTACCGTTCGTCATAGTCGCTCTTGCAGAACATTTGCAGAGTTGGCTTCAGGTGTGTTCTTTATCCAACTCTAGGTTGATGTGAAGAAATATTGGAGATTTGTTTTTGATTGATTATGTTTCACTTTCGCCGTGAATTTATTGTTGCTGGCCGCATATGGTTCTAGCTGTGACGTAAAGGAATGTGTAGTTTAAGCTTCAAAATTTTGTCAAATGCGTTTCTCTGTCACGTGAGTCTTACCACCAGTCATAACGAAATGTGTTTTTTTTGTCAGTAGATAAGCGGGGTCAGCAGCATGTCGTTCAACAGAGACATTCATTAAAACACGGGACTAGCCTCGCCCTGTGATCTTCGAAGTACCTTCTGTAGGGGTGAAACTCTGACTGCTTGCCTGGGTCCAGACATCATTTCGTTTTGGCATTTGGAATCATCGCATGTTTCTGTAGATTCTAGCACAATTTATAGTTATATAGTTCTTCAATTAATTGCCAAGATATTTCTTTTCCTGCAATGAGTTCAGAATGTGGTCATAGTCTCCGAATGACTGCGAGAGCATTTTTCAGGTGTATTCTGTTGCATGGTTTTGTACTTGCCTGCTAACAGTTATGGAGCACTTAAGCCCTCAGGAGCATTGGACCGAAATTTTCAGATTCAGTATGTTATCGAGTCGATTTCCTTACATAACAATGCTTATAGAGTCTTCTTGGTGGACTTCTTGGGCTTCTAGATTCTTAGTGCGCACTAGATTTGATAAAATTTGGTTATGTTAATATTTTTGTAAGTTTTTTACTTTCTTGTTTTTTTTGTTGATTGGCCCATCAAATTTTACAACCACATTTTAATTCGTGATATATATATATATATATATTATGGATATTTAGACATTTATATTAAGATATTTTTTCAGTAGCCTGTCTATTAGATAGGTGTTGTATGGAACCATGAGTAGTGCCTTGAATTTTAAGATTGAGATCATCTCTCGTTGATATATATTGGGATTTTTCTAATGCATTTAATTGTCTACATTTGTTTTTTTGGGCTTACTAATCTGAATAGAAAACACGTTATATAATGCACTATTCAATTTAGTAATTTTTTGTTCTAGACACATTGTACAACAGAATGTAGTGGTAAGATTATTTGTTGATATGAATCTTTTTTCCTCCTAATAGATAGTTTTACAATTTAATGATAATAAAGTTTAAATGATTAATCTGAATGTTATAAAAAAGCAACAATTTTTATTTCATTCTTAATATTCAGAAAACATGCTGAAGTCTGAAAAATTATATTAAATATAAACAATTATATCCTTCAAAATATATTAGGAATCAATAATATCTAATTTTATGTGTATTTTGTAACATCAAAATTATATTGTTGTAGTGAATACTCAAACTTACTATGTTAATAGCATTTGTACAATGGTACTTGAAAAAGGAAAAAAAATATCTTCAAAATTAGAAAGTAGATTGTTAACTTTAGATAAAAAGGATATTTTTAAAAATAATAATTTTTTTGGTCCTCACTTGATGTATCAAAACTTTACTAAGAATATGTGTTTTTACTTAATAAATTTGAATTTTTTTAATCGTTTAAATATTTCATATTACACTTAAATAAAAGTATTGATATATTTTAATAAATTATACTACAATGTAACATATGAGTTTATAAAAGTATGTTAAATTTAGATATAATATTCAAATAGTCATTAATCTAAGATATATTTTAAAAGATTGATATATCTTACAATATGTTTATCTATGCATACATGAATACGAATAAAGTTTCTTATTATGTAGAGCCTTTAAGTAGCTGTTACTACCTTATAAACAGATTCAATATAACATGTACATATTTATATAATTATAATTTTTTTGTTAATATGTTTTGAATTTAATTTTAATTCAAAAATTAAATATAATAAAATCATATTTATGTGAATATAAGTATATCTTTGTTTTTAGAACATTTGATAGATTTAGGAAGAGTTCGATTTATTAAAATATGAATTATAAATAAATAAAAATAATATATATATATATATATATATATGTAAAAAATATCTATTTAAATTAAATTAAAAAATATTATAAACATAAATAAAGTAATTTAAGAAATACTTCTTGACATATGTTTTATAAAAGTTTCAATGTATAACTTAATGTTTATATATTGTTTTTGAAAATTGATAAAAAAATTTATAAAAATAATGCTTATCTATGATGTTTGTATTATTTTTAGAAACACATTTGGAAAGCAATTAATCTATTTGAATAAATGCACAAATAAAATAATTATAACTTTTAAACTTTACCATTATATATTTAAATTATCATTTCTATAAAAATGTTGATTTTAATTCAAAATCTAAAAGTCTATTTTTTACTTTTAATTTGTAAATTATTTTTTGTAATTATAATACTAAATTTGTATAATATAGTATTTATATAATATAATATAATACTTAAAAATTTATATATTATTTATAAATTTTTATATTATTGAAAATTCAATTAAATCTAATAATACTAATATATTAAGTTTGATGACAAATAAATTTAACTTAAAATAATGTACTTACTCTTTGTACTAAAAAAATAAATATATCATCTATTCTTAGTATATTATATTTATTTGATTTTATTTGTTCTAAAATCCATATAAATATAATTATTTATTTATTAAAGATGAATATTAATCAGCATAATTATAAAAATTCTAATTTTAATTTGGAATTATATTAGTTTAGCAAAGCTATTACTTTGTATACTGAATTTGCATAGAATAGATGTTAAAGATATGAATTTAGATAAAATTAAAAAATCAATATATGTATGTGCCATTGATAAAGAGAAAAGTAAGGAAAGAAAGAATAATTTTAAGTTTAAAAAAAATTTATAATTACCATTGTCATATACAAAGACTAGAAAGTCTTCAATTAAGACTCAAACACAAAAATAGTGTTGATAGAATCACTAAGGATGGTCTCACTATCAGCTCTATATATACTAGCTATCAAAAATGCCTTGTAGATCTACAAGATTCATAAGACTTATGATCCAAATGTCAAGTTGTAGGTTGTTTATAACATGACTTTTTAAAATAAAAAAATAAATTAATTGTAGAATAAGTTTTATTAGTCACATAACATATCTATAAGATCTAAAGTTGTAACATACATTTAGAAAACTTTCTCTAATTTTTTTAAAGAAAATTATCTACATAACATATTCTATCTATTTCTAACTCCTATTCACTTAAATACTTCTTTTATTCTTAAAGACAAGTTCTACAAAGATCAATCAAGTTATAATAGATCTTGAGTTCATACTTGATGTTTCAAAAAATATGTAGTCATTCACTTGTTTCCTAACTCCATGGCCTTAGTTCTTAATCTTCTTCAATCTTTAGTTGAAAACCAAAAAGTCTTCATTAATTCTTCCTTAAGACATTTTATGATTGAAGACATAAAATTATTTATGTATAAATAAAGTAGGAAGAAAGAACATAATAGAATCTTAATAGTAAATTTTCTATAATGATTCTTATTATAATATTTACTACATATGATTATAGATATTTATAGATATTTGTAAATATTTTATAATAAGTTTCTTTTATTAATATTTAATCTTAATAAATCTAGTTTGTTTTTAACTATCTTAACTACCTAAGGTGGCTTAACAACCTTATCTATTTATATTAACTATTTCTAACTTCTCTTTTTCTAATTTTTTTTGCATTAGCTCTAATTCTTTTTCTTTTAATTAATTTTACACCAATTCTTTTATTCTTCTTTTTTACTCTTTTTTATACCAAGTCTTTTCCTTCTTCTTTTAATTCTTTTTTATATCAAGTCTTTTTATTCTTCTTTTAATACTTTTTATACCAATTTTTTTAAAAATTATACTTTATAAGGGATGTAAAATTTATTATTTTATTTCTAGATTAGAGTTAATTGTTTTAGAATTAAAAATGTTTTTGAAGATAATTCTAAAATTAATAGGTGATAATCTAATAGATAGCCATATTTTCTAATAAATATATTTACAAAAGTATAATTAAATAGAATGAAGTAGAAATAAATTTAATTTTTAATATCTTATTGGAAGGCTTCTTATAAGCTTTGTAGATTTTGCATGTGTTTATAAGTAATTTATAGGTTGAAAACTTAGCCAATAATTTGGCCATATTTTGCACATTTAGCCATTTGTATTATAAATTAGCCATGTGGGGCACTGTCAAGGACAAGAACATGATAAAGACAAATAAACAAGTGAGAATTCTCTCAAAAAACAATGATAAAATAGAAATAACTTCATGTATATATAGATATATATATATATATATATATATATATATATATATATATAAAGAAAGAAAGAAATTGCAATGGCTATTGCCAAAAGCCAAGAAAATTAGAGACCCTTGAAACTAGACTAGAAGCAAAAAAAGAGTTGACAAGAGTGAAAAAGGCTTCACTCTTGTCTCTACATATACTATCTTACTAGAGGCTACATGGCGACGTTTTATAGGACCTCCAATATGTGTTGACTTTGTAGGACACATGCCTTGACTTACAAGGCAAGTTTTTCTACGTGTGGGCCACATAGTTAGCTTAGTCTTCAAGCTAATAACATGTGTGGCACATGGCCAACTTGTTGATCACATTTTTAATCCCAAAAAGTCAATTAAAGACACTTATAAAGTCAAAGCAATGTCTATGAAGCTTCTAGGAAGCTAACATACTAAATACTATATAATTAACCTACTTTTACTTACTTCTACCTATTTGAATATGTAATTACTGGCTTACATGCATATGTTCGTGACATTGCCCCCCCCTTCTAAGGACGAGTTCAACGAGGAGCGGTCATCATATGTTGAGGAAATCTATGATGCGATGAATTATATTTGCCACATACTCTGATCTTTGTTCACTTCGAAGATGATTGATAGGGCCTCTCAACCATCGGTAGTGTCCCATACCAAGGCGAGAATTCCACATAGTTATTTAATTATTGTTGAGGCCTTCATAACTTCTTTCGAATAAGATATTTGGAACACCATTAGGAGTTGTTCCTACCAATCATTGTCACCAAACATATCATCCATGTAGAATGGTGGTTGTTTCTTTCGATAGACATCTGCATTGATCTTTTGTTGTTCTTGAGTTTCTTTTAACTGCGCCTTCATCGTTGCATGTAGCTCTGACAAATGAATTGCCAAATCTTTCGCAACAAGATTATCAACTTTTGAAAAGTCAAAAGTATCAAGTCGTGGATGATAACCATAATTAGCAAAGAAAGGTATTTATTTTGTAGAAGAATGTACCGTGTTATTAAAAACAAACTCTGCCAATGGTAAAAGAGTTGTCCAATCACCTTGTTGGTAGTTAACGGTACATCTTAAATACTGCTCCAAAACTTGATTAACATGCTCCGTTTGTCCATCAGTTTGAGGATGGAATACTGAAGATAGTTTTATATCCACTTTTAGAATCTTGAAAAGAGCCTGCCAAAATCTTGATACAAATTGAGTTCTCCTACCTGATATACTATCCTTGGGTAATCTATGATAGCGATAGATATTGTCAAGAAAGAACTTAGCTATTTCTTCACTTGTGATAGATTTTGTACATAGTACAAAATGTGCCATCTTAGTAAAACGATCCACTATCAAGAATATAGAGTCATAAGAACTTGAGATTCAAAAGTTCGTTATGAAATCCATAGAAATAGAAGACCATGGTTGTTCTAGAATGGATAATGGCTGAAGAAGTCCATAAGATCGATGACGAGAAGTTTTTGATCTCGAGCAATTATCATAAGATTGTACATAATCTTTGACTACTTTCTACATTTGTGGCCACCAAAAGTCCCTGGATATTAATTCCAAAG